TCTGTCAGTACTGTGTGACCTTGGATGACTTACTTACATTCTCAAGGCCTCACTTTCCCCAGTTAAAAACAACAACAACAACAAAAAACGCCACAGCAGTTTCTGCCCTGGCTGGTGTGGCTCAGTGGATTGAGTGCCAGCCAGCAAACCAGAGTCGCAGGTTCTATTCCCAGTCTAGGGCACATGGCTGGGTTGCGGGCCTGGTCAGGTCCCCAGTAGGGGGCGCGCGAGAGGCAACCACACATTGTCGTTTCCCTCCCTCCCTCCCTCCCTCCCCCTCTAAAATAAATAAATAAAATCTTAACACAAAAAAACCTAGTTTCCATGTCATTACGTTATTTTGAGTATCCAATTAAATTTATGAGGTGAAAAGATGCTTAGTATTTAGTAGTAGTGCCATAATTAGTAATTACATGCTTTGCTTATGTGTTCTTTTCCAAAAAGATTTCATTTATTTATTTTTAGAGAGAGGGGAAGGGAGAGAGAAAGACGGGGGGAGAAACATCAGTGTGTGGTTGCCTCTCATGCGCCCCCTACTGGGGCCCTGTCCCAAAACCCAGGTATGTACCCAAGAGGGAATCAAACCCATGACCTTTTGTTTTGCAGGAGAGCGTCCAACCCACTAAGCCACGCCAGTCGGGAATGCTTACAGGTCTTTCAGCAAGGCTATTGCGGCTCAGAAGAAGGAAGTACCCTGCCAAAAGTCACACCGCTGGGAAGTGTTGGACAAGACTCCTGCCTCTGCTTTGTCTGCACCCAGGAAGCGTGAGGACCTGGACCGTCATCGCCGGTGGGAGTGTAGAACAGCGTAGAACACTGGGTGGGGACCCAGGAGACAGAGAGTCCTTTGCATTCTTTCAGTTTAATCTACACGGCCCTTTGATGGACGCATGCTGAGCAGCAGGCTTGCAGCTGGGAACGCAGCAGAAGAAAACCCCAGCCTCGGGACAGGGGCACATACACGATGGAAAGCCCAGGGTGCGGTGAGCGCCAGGAGGAGGGGGTCTCGGAGTGAGTGACCTTTGCACTGAGCTCGCAGAAAGGTGAGGGGGCATGAGCCAGGCGAAGGTGGGAGGGGGAGGGGAAGAGTTTGAGGGAGGTTGTTACCTGTGCAAGCCCTGGGGCAGGAGAGAGATTGGCGTATTGAGGGGGACTGCTGAGCTCATAAGCCTCATGGGGATGGAACTTTTGTTTACTGCTGTGTCCCCACTGCCTGCTATGGTGCCTGGCACACAGTAGGCGCTCAATAAATTAGTGGTTGGTTGAATGAATAAATGAATGAACAAGGAGGGATGGGTGGGTGGATGGATAAATTGGATGGAAAAAAGAGTAGATGGAGCCCTGGCTGGTGTAGCTCAGTGGATGGAGCACGGGCCTGTGAAGCAAAGGTTTGCTGGTTCAATTTCCAGTCAGGGCACAGGCCTGGGTTGCAGGCCAGGTCCCCAGTAAGAGACACATGAGAGGCAACCACACATTGATGTTTCTCTCCCTCTCTTTCTCCTTCCCTTCCCCTCCCTGAAAATAAATACATTTAAAAAAAAAGAGTGGATGGATGAAGAAATGGACAAATGAAAGGAAGGATGGATGGATGAATAGACAGAAATATGGATAAATGGAAGAAATGAAAGGAAAAAGGAAGAGTGGGTGGTTGGATGGATGGATGGAGGGATGGGTGAGTGGATGATGGACGGAGGGAAGGATGGATGGATGGATGGATAAATGGACAGCTGAGGGGATGGTTGCATGGTTGAATTTGTGGATGCATGAGTGAGTACAGAAGTTTGAACAAATATGTATGGATTCACACACAAATGTGGCTAGAACTAAGTGCAGACTCATGCCCAGAGACATGCACACACGTGTGTAAATATAGATGCACCTGGTGCTCCCACTGCAGGGAAGAGACACTGGGAGGAAGGGTAGGCCAAGCTGGCCGGGGCCTGCGTGGACGAGGGTGCAGGGAGGCGAACCCTCTGACCAGCCCCTCCCCCACTGCGGCACTGACATAATTTCTGGAATAGGAAGAAAATGCTGATTCAGGCATTTGTGCCCCAGGCTGTGTGCCAGACCAGGGAGTGGGGCAGATATGGTCTGAGAGAGATGGGGTAAGTGGCAGAGGGGAGGAAGGTGGGGCTGAGACAGAGACAGGGAAAGAGACAGACAGACAGACACAGAGCAACAGAGAGGGAGAAAAACAGCAGTGGAGACAAGCACACACACATGGACAGACTGAGAATTGCGGAATGGTACAGACACACAGACATCAGAGAGAGACTCAAGAAATAGAAATTCAAACTCGGACACACAGGGAGGTGCGGCCGACTTCCAAAGACAGACAGGTGGGGAGAGGGGTAGAAAAATATAGGCACACAGAGAAATGGAGAAACCCAGAGGTGCAGATTTTAGAAGGAAAGGGAGTGAGAGAGAGAGAGAGAGAGAGGACCTCTCTAAGGAGGGAAGCAAGAGAGCCAGCTTCAGAAGAGGGAGCGAAACCTAGGTTCAGAGAGGACAAGACATTTGCCCAAGGTTGCACAGGCTGGACATGGCATTCAATGCCGTTCTGTTTTGACTCCAGAGTCCTTGCCCTCTTCTTCACTCTCTGTTGCCTTGAGAGGACCAAGAGGGCCAGGGAGGATGGGGTTGGGGCTACTGAGTCTGGGCACAGTCACTCGTTTATTCACTCAACATACATGCTCTGCACTTCCCTGAGTGAGGTGGTGCTGGAGAGGCAGAGGGGAGTTAGAAGTGGTCTGTCTGGTGGAGGGAGCCAGGCAGAAGTTTAAATCCCTGAACAAGACAGGTGGACTGGACAGGGCTCAGAGGTATGGGGAAGGGTCAGATAAAGAACACTCAGAGGAAGAATACAGAAAACACAACTGGGAGAATGAGGAGTCCAGGAAGGCTGCCTGGAGGAGGGAGCATTTGAGTTTCTTATTAGAAGATGAGAGCATTCCAGCACTGGGAAAAGGGGAGTCCAGAAGGGCATTCCAGAAGGCACAGCATGTGGAGAGTGGAGACAGGAGTAGGGCTGGAAGACATTCATTAAATAAAATCATTCATAAAAGGTGACTGGAGAGTGTGTGAAGGGGTGAGATGGGAAGGGAGTGGGACCAGATCAGGTGGATCTCAGAAGCTTGGGTGAGGTGCTGAGGTGTCTGGGGAGCTGTGAGCAGGGGAGGGGCAGGGTCAGCTCGGGGTGCAGAGAGAGCCCTCTGGAAGCCTGTGGAAGAGGGAATGAGGACAGGAGGGCAAGAAGGAGGCTGAGGAAGAGGATCCAGGCAGGAGGAGGCAAAACCTGAGTGGGTGTTGGCCGTAGGAATGAAGAGAAGAGGAAGCATAGGCAGGAGGCAGAAGGGATGGAGCCTGGGGAGTGGCGGGCTCTGGGGACTAGGTGTACCTGCCGTCGTGGGAATGAAGGATGTTCTCTGTCCTGTAGGGATGGTCGTGGCAACTGAAAGTGGAAGACAGCCTGGTGGGAGACAAAGATACGAAGAAGCAGAGGAACTGAGTCCAGAAATGAGTCTATTTCAGTCTAGACTATTTTCATTGCCAATGACAGAAACATAAATGATGTAAACATTAAGGGGGAATGAATGGTATGGATGAGGGTTTCAGGCACAGCTGGATCCAGGTACCCCCTACTCCTCATCCAGAATCTGTTTGCATCGTTGGTCTCTGCTTTCCTCTGGCCTTTGCTTTCAGGCAGGCTGCCTCCTCACCATATGGCAATGTGACGGCCCCCCGCAGCTCCGATCTAGACTCCAACCAGCCTGGCAGCCTCAGTGGAAACAGAAAGATCCTCATTAATAACAAGTTCAGCAAAAGGCCAAACATTGTTTTCTTGATTGATTTCTAAGCTCACCCCTGAACAGCTCACGCAGAAAATCAAGGTGCTACTACCTAGAAAGCAGGGAACTGGTGCTAATCAAGCAGGAACAGTGGACAGCCCGGACGGGACACTCTCTTCCTCCATCTGGAAGTGGAGAGAAGAGAAGGAGAGACACAGGTACAGAGACAGACTGAGAGGACAGACAGAAGGATAAAGAAAGTCTGGCCCCCCTGGCACAGTTCCTGCTCAGAGCTCTGCAGACGCAAAGAAAGGGATGCGGACTGGACACCTACGTGGTTAGACCCCTTCAGGCCTTCGCTTGGGGCCCAGGAGCCCCCAGACCCAGGAATCCAGCCTCTCAGCCCCCTCCTCCCTCAGACTCACAAGTCACAGTCCCCAGCCCCTCCCCGCTGCAGGTACCATGGCAACCAAGCCCCGCCCCCTCACCTTTCCCTCCCCCATACAGAACCCAGTTTCTGTTTGAATCTTAACTGAGTCTAACCAGTTCGTGCGTGAGACAGGGATGAGCGGAGGGCAAGTGGGGGCAGAAAGGGGATGACAGAGGGGAGGGCAGACCAGAGGCAGGGCAGAGGCAGCCAAGAGAGAGGAGAAATGAGGAGAGATGGAAAAAGGAAACTGGGGAGAGATGGGGAGAGAGGAAGGGAGGCAGAGAGGGTGAGGGGGTCAGAGAGAGGCAGACAACTATGAATAGAGGGAGGGACGGCGGGCGGGGGAGATTTTGGGGAAACTGTTAGAGCAGGAGCCTGGGGAGATGGAACCAGGGAAGGGGAGAGAAGTAGGGAGGAAGGGGGAGGAGAACGCAAGGGAAAGAGTGGAGACGAGATGGGGCGAGCGATTAGCAGTCAGGGGAACAAGATTTGGACAGAGGGAGACAGGGAGAGAGAGAGGGAAAAGAAGAGACTGTAGGAGTCAGGGAGAGGTCGAGGAAGAAACGGGGAAGCGAGAAAGAAGGAAGTGGGGCACGGAGGAGCTCCCCAAAGTTAAGGGAGCCGGGATCTCGACGTGGTCTCAGTCCTCCTCTTCCGTGTGGGTTCCCTGGGGCTTCGAAAAGGAAGAGGAGGCCGCAGGGGGCAGCAGGAACGGGGGTGGGTGGCCCAGTCAGAGATGTCCTCTCCACCCTCCTGAGACAACCCCCACCCGCCTTCCCAGGATGCAGCAAGATGTGGAAGCCCTGGGAGGCTCCACCATGGGCAGCCCCAGCATGCACAGGGAAGCAGGTACTGAGCCCCGTCCGTCTGTCTGTTTGTCTGTCTGTGCATGGGCTGGGGGGGTGGTTTTCTTCATGCACGGTGTCATAGCCCTGGACTGCAGTGTGGCCTCCAGTGCGTCGCTGGCATTCCGAAGAGACAGCCACCCAGACTCGCACGTCGACCAGATTCCTGAAGAGTAGTACCCATTGGGCCTCGCACTACATTTCCCATGAGCCTCTGCAGTTCCATGGGGACCCAGAACTACATTTCCCATGAATCTCCGGGGGCCTTAACTACTATTCACAGGCCATTATCTCCCCTAGACCCCTGCCCTGGTCCCTCACACTCTCCTTGTCACCCACACTGAGCTCAGCATCTTATCCAAAAGCCTCTCCTCCATGTTTGCCATCTTCTACTGGCTGCACCGCTGACAGAATCACTGGGCCAGAACCCAAGAGCTGCACCCCTCCATGCCCTCCATACCCATCGGTCCCCAGTCCCACCTCCCCGCCCAATGGCTCTCTCTGCCTCACCCCTGCCCCTCCATCCCACAGCCTCAGCTCACGTCTTACGCTCTTCCTTATGGACCCTTTCTCTATCTAATTCCCTGGTGTCTTGTTTCTCCCCTCCAACCATCACCACATGCCCCCAGAGGGTTCTTTCTGACCCCAGCGCTGATTCTGTCTCTCCCCTGCTCACAGCTCTCCGTTGTTTCTCAGTGCCCCAAGGGCAGAATCCCAGATCCTCCGCCTGGTGTTCGAGGCCCCGTGTGGCCGGACACCCGCGGACAACTTCAGGCTCATGTTCCACGGCTCCCTACTTGCATTCTCCTTTAGCACAGTGCATTCAATCACTCACTCATCCAAATGCATTCTGTAAGAATGCATTTGCCTATCAGGTAATAGAAAACTAGACTTAATGTAGTGTAAAAATAGGCCCTGGCTGGTGTGGCTCAGTGGATTGAGTGTCGGCCTGTGAACCAAAGGGTCATTGGTTGGATTCCCACTTGAGGCACATGCCTGAGTTGCAGGCAAGACCCCCAGTACAGGACGCAGGAGAGACAACCACACATTGATGTTTCTCTCCTCTTTCTCCCTTTCTTCCTCTCAGTCTGAAAATAAATAAAATCTTTAAAAAAGAATAAGAAAGTCATTATCTCACCCAAAAAAAGAGCCCACAGGTAGGGCTTGGTTTGGTTGAGTGAGTAGCCCAATGATATCATTGAGAACCCCATATCTACTTCCAGGCTTTTGTGGTCCAAGGAAATATTCCCTTTGCACACCAGCTAACCTCATGGTCACAAGATGGCTGCCAGAGTACCAGGCATCACTCCTGGAGGTCTTCATCTTAAGAACTCCCAAATGATTACTTCTCACATTTCAGTGTTGAGCACTCACTCACCTGCTCGCTCTTACTCAGTGGGTGGCAAAAGGAATGACATCATCATGGTTCTTTTAGTCAGTGGTCCTCGACTTTAGCTACCCATCAAGTGGGAGGATTAAAAAAAAAAAACAACCTATACCCAATCCCCATTCAGATCCAATTTAACCTAAATCCATAGGACTGGAGTCTTAGCATCTATATATTTTGAATGTTTACTGGGTAATTATGAAAAATGCTGGGGTTGGAAGGCATTGATTTAAACCGGATGGAATATCCCTGAGGGAACCGGAGATCAGTGAGCCTCCCTTGAATCACGTGGGTGAAGAATGGACTCCCCACCTTCAACTGAGGGAAGAAGGACAGAAATGGCTGAAGGGGTCTCTTATCTGGGTGTCTTCTATAAGCACCTACTCTGTGCCAGGTGCTATACTAGGCGTGACGAATGCTCCGGTGGCAAAAGACGCCACTCTTCTATCCTCAGTTCCCTTTCAGTGTCTTTGAAGGACCCTTTCTTTTGGAGACCCCACCTTACACCATCTTTAACCTAGACCTAATCAATATAATTAATGTAGCCCTAGTCAGTTTGTTGGAGTGTCGTTCCATGTCCCGAAAGGTTGCGGGTTCGATCCCTGGTCAGGTGTGTATAGGAAGCAACCAATCGATGTTTCTCTTTTACATGGATCTTTCTCTCTCTTTCTAAAGTCAATAAACATATCCTTGGGTGAGGATTAAAAACATACATATATTATACCTATACTGTATATATTTAATGTATAGTTCTAGGAAGGCTAAGTGGAATTGAGTCAACCAGTTGGCTGGTTTTAAATATCAATATTTGCTCATGTTCAGCTTTGCTATTTTCTTTGTGGTATTTTGGAACCAAGAACACTTTTAGTTTATCAGGTTGCAAACTTTGGACTAGGCCATTAGGAAGCTTGTGGGTCCCAAGTGTCTTGCCTGTAAAGCCAAATGAGTGAAATGACCCAGCCTACTGGTATGCAGGGAGGTCAGACTTGAAACACATCATCTCATGAATAATTAATAACCTAAGAGGGTCATAAGTGCTCCCGAGTCTGGGGGCTGAAGAGAATTCTGGGAAGTTTCTGCAGATGACCACATTCTCTTTTGCTTAAAGACGAACATCCTGCCCTGGCTGGTGGGGCTCAGTGGACTGAGCGTCGGCCTGAGAAACAAAAGGTCTCCAGTTTGATTCCCAGTCAGGGCACAAGCCTGGCTTTCGGGCCAGGTCTGCAGTTGGGGGCATACGATACGAGAGGCAGCTCATAGATGTTTCTCTTACACATCCATTTCTCTTTCTCTCTCCCTCCCCCTCTCTCTAAAAAAATAAATAAATAATTTTAAAAAAAAGACCAATGTTCTGAGGCAGGAGAGGACGTGGGGAGTTCTAGTCACAGAAGGGCAGTGCTCTGGAATGCAGCCAATGGAGATGACCGTGCCTGCCTAGGCTTAAGACAACAGCAGGGTCAGATCATGTGTGGTCTCGTGAGCCACAGGGAGAACTTGGGGCTTAATTTGCCTCCAGGATAATCGGGATTCTCCAATTGAGAAGTCTTGGGAGGGAGTGGGTGGTATGATTGGATCTATATTTCAAAATGCTATTCTTCTGAGGTGACTAGAGAGAGGAAGTAGACAGGTGAGAGGCACGAGACTGAGGGGCTGGGACCACAGACTCTGGATCCAGACACCTCGATTCGTATCCTGATTCTATGACTTTGGGCTTTGGGACCTTGGGCAAGCCACTTAGCCCCCCTGTGCTTCTTTTTCATCATTGGTTAAACTACACCATCTCAGAACAGTTGCCGTGAGACAACTTTCGAAAGTGCTTGGCTTTTTTAAAGGGACTGTAGACTTGTAGTTCTTTTGATTGTCAAGCGGACAGATTCTAGAAGGAGACAACTGTGTGGGAGACTTGGAGGGCAGGCCAGTGTGGCTGGAGGAGAATGATCGGCAAGTTCAACAGGGGTGACCACACACAGGGCAGGTGCTTCTCAAAGGAGATCTTGTCAACATGCAGATTCTGATCCAGCAGATTTGAGGTGGCCCCTGAAATGCTATGTTCCCAACTATGAGTCTTGACCCTGAAGGCAAAAGGAAGGCTCTGAGGGTTGATAAGCATAGGATGCAGAGATGTGAAAATCTCCCCAGCTGCCCTTCTAGAACAAGTGGGAGGTGGAAGGATGGAGGTCAGAAAAGGGGGCTTGCTAAGGTACAAGCTACGACTTGTTGATGCCCCGAAGTCAAAGCCACCCAGAAGCATAGTTGTGACATAGCTGAGTGCTGGAAACAGCCTGTCCCGGCTCACAAGAGCCCATTGTTGAGTTTTGCAAACTGGCTGCTAAAACTGTGGGCAGCATGAGATTGGTTGTGGAGGAAGTATTGACATAATGCAGACTGACAAGCGCTGCAGTCTGTGTGTGTGGGGGGAGCACAGCACTGAATTTATTGACTTGTGATGAAGGAGACCCTAACACATGCAACATCTGAGTAAGGAGCGTCAGAGAAAATTTTACATAAGAGCTGGGAGGACTTAGATGACTTTGGGAGGGTTTGGAGAAGCAGGGCTGTGCCCTGGATCAGATGCTGGCAGAGAAGTGAATGGAGCTAACGCCCTGATTGGAAGAGAAGCAGCATCAGCTCTGAGCCAAGAGGGGGATGTTTGGTCATTTTTGTGGTTTGGGCAGTGCTCATATTTTGTTGTGTTGAAATATGATTCTGTGGTGATCTTATTTTTATCTTGGTCCATCGTGATCACAGAGTGGCCTTTGCAAATGTTAGTGTTCTGTGAAATTGTTGATGTTAACAGGAGGCTACCAGAGCCAGATTGGGATGCCAGGCCAGCTCCTGGCTGTCAGGGGCTGCATTCCACTTAGTTCAGCTGCTGTAACAAAGAGACCCCCAAGCACAATGCTGTTAAGAAGACAGTTTATTTCTCTCCTGTGTAATGGGAAGCAGGTGTTCCAGATGGATGAGACATGTTATCCCATCAGATGACTCAGGGACCCAGGTTCCCTCCATATTGTGGCTCCATCATCTTTAGCATGGTTGAAGCTGGCTCATATCTGCATCCACATTCTGGTTTAAGGGAAGCGGCAACTAGTGCCGATGAACAATCTTCTTTTAAGCAAATGACTCCAAAGATGCATCCTCATTCCCTCTAACATTGTGGGTGAGAACTTGGTCCCATGGCCATACCTAGCTGCAAGGGAGCCTGGTAACTGTTGTCTCTAGCTGGGTAGCCACGTGCAGGTAAAACTCCAGGATTGTAGAAGAAGGGGAAAATGGCTTATGTGGGGCAACTAGCAGCTAGCCATAAAGAACCAGTTAGCTGACTGTGGGGTTGTCTAGACGGGCACAGATTTGAGAGCTGTTATCAGTCAAGTTCCAATCAGAAGGCTGTTTCTGAGAGTGTTGGAAAAACCACAAGCTGGATTCAAGTGATGCTGTTGGAGCAAACTGACATTGTCAAGAAGTGAGGCTGGGGTGACTGCAATGGGAAGCAAAGAAAGGTCAAGTCCCTTCCTCTTCCTCCTGCCTTTCAGTCCCCCTCCAGCACCACCTTGAGGTAGACCCTACAAGGAATCTAGTAAGAACCTAGGTGTCAGAGACAAAACAGGGTTGGTAGAGCCTGGTGTGGAAGGGTGGTGTTTGAAGCTGAAAGACAGTAGCTTAATAACAAGAGCTATTCTGGGGGTGGCATGGACAACATTCGGTGATGCCCAGTTAAGTGGAATAATGTGTGAAGAGTACTCAGGGCAGCTGACGCTGGGTTCTCCATCTCCAGAAGCCCTCCTTGTGGACCTCGAGACCTCAGAAGAGACACAGGCTTGGAGCCTGGGCAGGCCCACCAAGACCTCGTGAGTGATCCCCTGCCCCATGATTTCTGACCTCAGCTCCCTGGAGTGCGATGTCAGTGACCCCTGGCTTTGGAGGTCCTTGCCTACTCACTCTCTCCCCAGGAAGCAGTACCTGCGCCGGGTCCTTGCAGAATATGAGGCACTAGACCGAGAGCTCCCGTGCATCCGCAAGTTCCCCATGCCACCCACAGCCCAGCCCCTCTGCCTGTGCATGGAGACCTTGGTGAGCAGCCCCCAGCCTTTGTGGCACTGGGTGGGATAGTGGAAAGTGCACAGTTATGGAGCCAGGTGGATAGAGTCCAAATCCAGGGTCTGGGGCTTACCAGCTATGGGCTTGGCACCTTGACAGGTTGCTGAAAATTCACTGTGAATTTGTCAGACTCAGTTATCAAATGTATCACTGCTGATCCCAGAGGGGCAGAGAGATGGAGAGATGGAGGGATACAGAAGAGGAGAGATTGAAACACAAAGAGCCGTGGCTGGTGTGGCTCCATGGATTAAGTGCTGGCCTGTGAACCAATGGGTCACTGGTTCAATTCCCAGTCAGGACACATGCCTGCATTGCAGGGCAGTAGGGGGCATGTGAGAGGCAACCACACATTGATGTTTCTTTCCCTCGCCTCTTTCCTCAGCAATTTTGTACACTATAATTGATGTTTCTCCTGCCCTTCCCCTCTTTCTAAAAATAAATAAATAAAATCTTTAAAGAAAAAAGGCAAGGAGAAGGGGGACTGAGGACAAAGGGAGTCCTGCTAATTCATCTACGATGAAATTCCGTAAACTTTACAGATACAGCAAAAACATAACAATGTCCCATGTTTTTAGTAGAGTCAGGTGACTTGGTCACTCAGTGTACAAATCCTTTGGTAATCCCTGACCTCAGTCAGAGGATGTATCTCAGTTAGGGTCTCACTCGTGAGAAGAGTGGACATGAATGGGACATTGACTGTGTGCCCCTCAGCTGATTTGGGTGGCTTTACCCCAACACAAGGATTGCTGTCATTGTTTTAGGGATCAATCCACACCCATTGCTCCTCTTCCTTATGGCTTTGAACATGGACCCCTCTCTCCTCCCACATACGCACCCAAGGCTTGCCTTCCTGGAGGAGACCAGTTTCACAACTTCAGTTTAGTTCCTCAGCAATTTTATACCCTATGACCATGGCATCATTACCTTTGACATGCTGAAAATGGGATGGTGATTAATATATATTTCTGAATGTTTGAGAGATTCGCCAGAAGTCAAAACCCCCTAGGATCCTTAGTTTTTGACAACTGAACGTTCCTTAAAATGCTAATATGAATACAAAAAGAAAAGCATGCAACTTAAATTCTTTCAGAAATCTCCAAGAGCTGCGAAAAGCTTGCCATCTAATGCAGCTTGCAGCAAAGCTGGCCAAATTGGTGAATCATTCAGCCAACTGTTCATTGACTTTTGACAAATCAGCTTGGTGAGAATTGATTTTTTTTTTTTTGGAGCATGACCCTGAATGACAGTAGATGACTTTCTACCTGAGAGATGCCTGTCCTCCCTGCTCTGCCAAGAGGGACAGGACGCTTTGATCAGGTGTGATACTTGCCCTTGAAAGGCCACCTGGGATTCTGGCAAGTTCTGCAGATAGGGTTTAGGGTGGGGACTTCCGAACCCGGAGTGAACCCGCTGTCATGGGCTGAGGTTCTCTCTGACTTCCCAGCCCGAGGAGGACCTGACCCACCTGGAAGTGCTGGAGGCACTGGAGGCCGAATTACCCGGGGCCTTGGAGAGCGGCCGCGTGAGCAGCATCCGCTTTGAGAACATGAATGTCATCTGTGGGACTGCGGGGCGCAGGGACCGGTGAGCCCGCGGCTACGAGGGGACCTGGAGCGACCGGAAGGAGTGGGGCAACGGAGAGCCAGTGCGGGACCCAGAGGGCCCGTGAGGGGCGGGGCTTAGGGCGGAGAGGAGGCGGGGCCGTTGAAAGGTGGTGTCCAATGAGAATGCGGGGAAGAGGCGGAGTCAGGGCTAAGGGATCTAGTGGGCGGGCCCTGGAAGTTTAGTTAGTGGGGGTGGGGCAGGGCCTTGAATGACTCAGAAGAGCAGAGTTGATGTGGGGACCGGTTGACAGGGCTGGTGGTAGGCACACGGAAGGGGCGGAGCCGAGAGTGGGCGTGGTGAGGGTCTAGGGCCAGGTGAGATCAGAGAGAAAGCCTGACCTGGAGGTGATGGGACTTTGATTCAGGTGAAGACGAAGACAAGCCACACCAGGGGCGGCGGGGGGGCGGAGCCTGGACTGAGGGCACCTTAGGGGCGGGGCCAAGAGATTGGTGTGTAGTTGGGTCCAAGTCCAGGAGGGATGGATGTTATGGGCATGGGCTTGAGAATCACACTAAAACGGTGGGGTTAAGTGAAGGAGAGGGACCTGAAAATGCTGGGTGAAGGTCTGGCCTTGAGCGCAATCTCGAAAGGGCAGTTTGACCGCGATTAGAAGACAAAAGCAGGCCGAGAAAGAAGACGGGTTCTAGAATGACCCAGGTGAGGGTCGAAGGATATAGGTTGATCTTGGAGAGAGGCTTAGGGACGGGGAGATGGGTTGAGGGACCTGAGTCGGTAAACGCACAGAGTCCAGGCAGGGACATTTCGACAATCAAAGGCGGGGCTGAGACCACCAGCGATTACCCTTCCGTGTCCACCCGCCCCTCTTCTCTTGGCTCGACCCCTTGCAGGTGGCTCATCACGGTCACGGACTTTCAGACCCGCTCCCGCCTGCTGCGCTCCGGGCTCCACCTCCGCGGGTCAGCGCACCCGCTAGCTCGCCACGACGAACTGCTGCTGAGCGATTACCGCCTGCACCTGCGCCGCTCCCTGGTCCGACGGCGCATGCTCGAGGCTCTGGGGGTGGAGCCGACCGAGGAAGACTGACGTGTGGGGACGGGCTCCGGCTGCGCTTGCGCAACGCCCAGCTGGTTCGGGCGATTCACGCGGAACCCGGGAGGAAAGGGGGCGTTGCCTCCCCAGGAAGGAGGCGGGGCCAGCTCGAGGGGGTGGATACTGTGAGTTTAATTATAAAGAATGACCTGGTACAAAAGCCATTTCTCTCTGCAAAATCTTGGTGGGGAGTCAGGGGAGATGATGGGGGGGTAGGGACGAAACCCCATAATATAATCCCGCTTTACTAATCTTCCCCCAGTCCCTGCAAATGGTCGCCTAGGTCCCAATCCCTTGAGGGATGAACTGAGGCCCGCGAGAGGGAGGACCTGGGCGCCGGGGCTTTCAACCCGTGTCGATCCCTGTCTCAGCGAGAACCAGAGGTCCTCATGCTCCCCACTCCTGTTCCTCCTCCTCACCCCTCCCCTTGGAAGACAATTCTCCGGGCTTTTATTTCAGGTTTTTTTTTTTTTCTGGATTTTTTTTGTGAGTTCTAGGGTACTTTTTTCTTTTTTGCATTTTCTTTTGTTATTGTAACTCTTTTTGCTTTGTCTCTCCTCTCCGCCCCGCGCTGCACCCCCATCCAGTCCCTTTCCCCTCCCCACCCCGACTTCTCCTCCCCCCCCACCCCCTACACCCTCCCCAACCCCGCGGCACCCATCCAGAATGATCAAGCCCTTGATAGACAGGCGCCGCGCAGGCCCCCTGCGGACGGGGGCATCCGACAAGGGGGAGGGGGCGGGTAGGGGCCCAGCGCGACCTCCGCCCCCTCGTTGCCACCCCTCCCCCCTCCCACGACCCTCCCGCAAGGTTCCCCGCAGATCCCTGACGTGGTGAGGGGAGAGGGCTGCAAGCACCCTCCCCCCACATGGACGGAGCCCCCCCCTCGGGGGTGGGGGGCAACAGAGGGGGAATGGGCTTGGGGGAAGGAGGGGGAGCTCCCTTCTTTGGCAGCTGAACATGGGGGGACCTGAGGGCGATGCCCTCCCCCCTTTACCCACAGTAGGGGAGGGGGCTACCCAGGGGAAGGGGTGGTTTTAAAATTTCCAAGCCCCAGGAATAAAGGGAGGGGGGAAGCGTGCGGGAAGAAGAGCCATGCTGGAGGGAGGAGTTTTTGGGGAAATGGAAGTGCAGGGGGCTGGGGGTCTTCGTGCAGAATGGAAAGACAGATGGCCCAGGAAGGATGAGAGGAGAGAGGATGTGCAAGAGAGCAAAGGCTGGAGCAGGGACAGGAGGAAGCACGGTGAGCAAGACGGGAGTGTGCGTAGGGTCCTCGCTCGCCAGAAAGAGAAAAGGGCGCAAAGGCGGGAGAGAACAGGCAGACGGGGGCTGGCCCCGCAGGGGCTGTTCCTTCACGGGGATGGAAAACGAACCTGCCAGGGAAAGAAATCAAAAAGTGCAGGCCAAGAAGTGTGGAGGGAGCTGAGTGTGCAAAAGGCAAGAGGCGGCAGAGTTCCCCGGGGAGATGGAGAAAGTGTGCCCAGGAGCTGAGAAGAACGAGTAGAAATTCAAGTGCGCAGCCAAGCCACAGGGTGCGAGAACATCGCTAGAGCAAAGAAAAAGGCTTTGAAAGAGCAGCGGGAGAGCTGGGGAGGATGCACGTGGGAGAGTCTGCAGGAAGGTCCACAAAGGAGTCGATGGCGATGGACAAAGACTTGGAAAAAGAGGGCGCAGGGGAGCGGGAGCCTGGCAAGGAGGAGAGGGAGGAGCGCTCGAGAGAAAGTTTCTGGGGAACAAGTGTGCAAGCCATGTGGTAAGAGGTGACTGAGAGGGGGCGGGGAGAGGAGGGGCACTGGAGTATCACCGTGACCGGCAAAGGTGGGGGGGAGTAAGGATGTTGGGGTTCAAAAATAAGAGGCAAAAGTGCTTAAAGAAAATGCAGTCAAGTGTGTTTGGAGAAGTGCGTGGACAGCGAGTGTGCAAGGGTTGAACGAAGAGAAGGGTGTTCCACAGGATGAATGTGTGCACAGAGCTTGTGAGGGGGTCAGGGAAAGGGTATCCCAAGTGTGTCTGCAGCAAGGGCCCAGAGATTTTCAGAAGTGGGGTGTGACAGGGTGGACGCGGAAGGAAGAGCGTGTGAGCAAGAGTTGGAGAGAACGGGGTGGGGGGGGCGGACACGGCGTGTGGGAAAAGCAATGCCAAGTGTGCGAGGGAAACAGCTGAGGGGGCCTCACAGGACGGAAGCGAGGGTGGAGTGTGCAAGACAGCGAGAGGGCAAACTTGTGCAAAATTGTAGCCCAGGGAGGGGAGAGAGGCAAGCAGGCGTGCAAAGGAGCGTGCAAGAGGCTGGGAGGGGGTGCTGTGTGTGCCAGGGGCAGGGGAAGGTGAGGGAACAGAGGGGCCTGGAGAGGGGGGAAGGGTTGTTAGAGGGGCGGCAGGTGGTGGAATCTGAGGGCACCCCCTTCCCCTGCGGCCTGGGGGGGTGACCCCCCCATCCAGTCAGGCTCAGGGCTGGCCCTCTATGGCTCTGTCTGTCCCCCCCTCCCGGAATCGACCCTTCCCTCCTTCTCCATCCCCTCTGAGATTTCTCCCATTCCCACGCCCTCCGCTCCCAGCTCCACACACACACAGTCTAGTATCAGCTGCCCCCTCCTGTGAGGTGCAAATGTCTGGCCGGAATCAGGCCACCTGGTGACCTCCAGCCTTGGGAGATGAGGGCAGGGCACAGTTTTAGCAGAGTCCCTGGCCCAGGGAGAGAATAAGGGTCAGGGGTCAAAGGTCCAGAGGCCAGCGGGCTCAAGGGTTCGGTGGACGGGCTGGTCCGCCCGAGCCAGCCATCACCTCTCCAGGAAAAATTTGAGAGCCCGGTCGATGTTCATGCGGTGGCCCACCCTGGTCACGCCCAGATCGACGTAGTCCTCCTTGGTCAGGGCGGGCAGGTGGGACCCATCGATCTCGTGGTCTAGGAACCGGGCCCGGTGCTCAGCCAAGCCCAGCCACTCGAGCCAATCAGCCACGTCGAACTTGGTCCAGAACCCCAGAGGTTTCGCGCCAAACGGCTTGTCGGGGGGCAGCGAAAGCAGGCGGGTCGGCGAGAGGGAGCGGGAGGCTCCCGACAAGGCTCCACCAAGCCCCCCGGACATCCCCGGGTGCGGCGGCACAAAGACAGGGGCGAAGGGGTCAGCCGAGCCTCCTGCCCCTCCGGTGGGAGAGCCGCGGAGGTCGAAGAGGCCCGGGTAGAGGGGTCCAGAAGGCAGGATGGGCAGGGACGAGGGCCGGGGCGCAGGGCTGACCTTGTGCTCCGAGGCGGGCAGCAGCGAGGGGCTGGGCGCCCTGCGGAGCAGAGGCGGCCGCATCTCGAATTCCACACCCTGGAGGTGCCGGGTGGACGTGGAGGAGGAGGCTGAGGGTGAGGTGGCCCCGGGGGCCGCAGCAGCTGAGTGGGGGACCCCGGTTCCTGTGGGGAGTGGCGGCAGAGGTGGTTTGGGCCAGTTCTGAAACAGGCTGCTGACCGGTTTGGAGAGGAGCGAGGACTGGGAGTCTTCCGAGAGTCTGGAATGTGACAAGGGGGCGGGGTGGAGGAGAGGGGTTTGGGGGGGTCGGGGGCCGGGTGAGAAACCGGAAGAGAGGAAGAAAGACATAGGGCGGGGGGTGGAGAGATGGAGAGGAGAGATGGGCCGAGATAGAAGGAGTGAGGGGGGGGAAGATGGATGCCAGGACAGAGATGAAGGGAGAGAAAGATGCCAGGACAGGGAGAGGGCGACAGTCAAGAGAAATGAAAGAAAAAGAGACATTAAGTGATAATAATAATAATAGTCACCACTTACTGACGCTCATGTGTGTCAGGCATTGTTCTAAGTGCTTTACAGGTTGCATCTCAATTTAATCCCCGCGGCAGCCCTGGTGCAGGTTACTATTATTATCATCATCATCGTCATCAGCAGCACAGAGAGGTTAAGTAACTTGCCTAAGGACACACAGCCAGGAAGTGGCAGAGCCCGTTTATATGGCACCGAAGTCTGAGCTCTTCACCACTATTCTAAACTGCCTTTTGGGTTATGGCCAGTCACAGCAGAGTGGAAGACAGGGAGACGGTGGGAGAGGAACAAAAAGAAGGTGAGCGTTCGGGGGGTAGAGAGAGAGAGAGATGGAAGGGGGCAGGGAACAGAGAGAGAGAGAGAGAGATGAGGAGAGGGAGATGAAAGAGAGAAGAAACAAGGGGAGAAAAAGGTTCCCCTCATCCCTTTAGCTCCCTCCAGAACAGTCCAGCCTCAGGGCCTTTGGACTGGATGTTCCCTCTGCCTGGCTCACTGCTCCCCCCAAATAGCTGTGCCTTTGCTCCCCTCCTCTGGTGTGTACTCATCTCACCATCGAGACTTTCTCTAACCATCCCGTACTTGTATCCCCGCAGCCCCGGTGACTGAAATTGTCTTGTTGTCTGGCCCCTACCTGTCTCATTAGACTATGAACTCTACGAGGGTAATGTTCTGCCCATCTTGTCCACTGAGGGGCCCCTCTCACCCATAACAGCTCTCAGCGCATAGTAGGTGCAAAACCAGCGATGGTTCGGTCGTCACCTAAATCCAGCATCCTTTCCTCTACCCAGAATACTTAGGAATTCTCAGTGAGCTGCCCCTGAGATCTCGAAGGCCTGATAAGGCCACATTCAAATAGCAACCATAAGGCCATCAGGCCTTCAGACAGAATCAGAGTGAGCTCTGCAGATGGACAAGGGGATTAAAAAACCTGCCTTTGCTCTCTCTGCGTCCGGATCAGACATTTGACGCTACTTTCCTCAAAACCAAGTCTTGAATGAACTTGAACTCTGTGGCAATAGCGGCTGGCTAGCTGCTTTGGAAAACTTCCGCATTCTACATTTCTCCTCCGTCTGTATTCGTTGGGCCCCTCCCCCTCATCTCATGTTATAACGATGGTCTCAAAAACTCTTTTAGGTGGGTGCTATGCTGCCCCCCTTCTACAGAGAGGTGGGCTCCTTGGCCTCAGGTCCCCCAGTTAGAAAGTGCAGGGTTGGGACCAGAACCACAAGAAGCCCAGCTCCAGAATCACTCGGGTAACCACT